AGAAACACCCCTGGGACGTGTCTTTAAGGCTCTCGGGTGAAAGTGAAACTTAAACTGTCTCTCAGACTGAAGAAGTCTCTTGGAAGAGAGACGAAACGTTTCATTAAAGAAGAACCCGTCCAGAGGACCTATACAATTTTTTTCCTTTTGATTTTTTACCTATATTACTGAGATGCATCAGGATACTCCCATCAAGGTGATCCATGACGAAAAAGAAAGGGCAGAGAAAAGGTTTAGTCATGGAAAACATCCCAGGCGAAATAGAGGAGATTAAAAATTCACTAAACTTTATGAGTGGAGAATTTTCTAAGTGGACCTCACAGCAGGAACATCTGTTTGAACTGTTCGAGGAGGTGAAGCAGCTGAAAGTTGCACTGAGTGATAAAGACAGAAAAATAGATCAACTGGAGAGAAGAATAGATGACCTGGAGCAGTATTCACTAAGGGAAGACCTGGTAATCTCTGGACTTGATGTAAAGCATAGAAGCTACGTTAAAGCTGTGGTAAATGAAAGTACCACAGAGGATGTTCCCCAGGAGGTTCTGCTCACTCTGGAGCAACAGGTTGTGACTTTTTTGCAGGATAAAAACATAAACATCACACCTGAGGACATTTCAACCTGCCACACCTTGCCCACTAAATCAGGAAATAAACCGTCCATTGTAATCAGATTTATTAGTAGGAAAATGAGAAATAATCTGATGATGCAGGCAAGAAAACTGAAGGGAACAAATGTCTTCATAAATGAACATCTAACAAGAAAAAATAGTAACATATCACGTGAGGCTAGATCCCTAAAAAAAAAATAAAGATAATAGCAACCTGGACACGTAACAGAAACATCTGGATCAGAGATAAAGAAGGATCACAGGCAAAAAATGATAAAGGAACTAAAGGAATTGGAAAGATTTAAGTGAGTTTAGGAGGAAAAATCAAAACTGAAACAATCTGGAAAAGAGTTAATAAAAACTGAAAATGGACACAAATATTAAAACATGAACATATACCATGACTCAGAATCTAAAATGTATGACCTAGATGATCAGATTGATTCATATTTTACTCAAATAATCACTGACTGTGATTACTATAATGAGGAACAATTTAATAATATTAAAACGACAAAAGATGACCTCTATTATTCATATCAAGAAGCTTATATGCAAACTTATTTAAAATTACAGATTATTTAAATCAACTAACCAGAACCTTTAGTATAATAGCATTCTCAGAAACATGGTTTAATGATGAAAATGTGAATAATGTTAATATTGAGGGGTATGAACTTTATTGTTACGACCAAAAGGTAGTTAAATATGTAAATTTGAGTGTGCAGGTGCCGGTTGCCGATTGGACCATGAAGACTGGAGGACAACTGATTGGAGGCCTGCAGCAGGTGGCAGTGATAAAAGGAACTGACGTGGACTTCCCAGCTGTTCATCCTCAGCTTATCTCAACTGGCCTCACAATTTGTCTTTGTAAATAACATTAAGAAAACACTTAAGGAGTTTGTAGGAGTG